GGGATGATGGTCTGATTGGGCTGAGGACTGCTCCCTCCTTTTTTAAATCTGGCCCCCAACATTTACGTGCAGGCATAACCACAATGAAGCAGAGTAGATGTTGAGTGAATGCTCCAAATTAAATCATTTGTTATCACTCTTCTAAAAGACAGCTATATTTAAGTAGAGAATTCAGTTAACTTACAAAGCCATGCAGGAAGATATTAGCAAATAGACATACCAACAAGAGCAGTGAAGAACTGCCTCATAGATGCGACATAAACAATCTATTTTGTGTTTGAGAGAGGTCTTGGAAAGATTTTTTTTTTCCCCATGCAACACTGATAGCAGAGGAGTGGAAGCCAGGAGCAAGCTTCCTTGGTTCCCTTTGTCTGCATGATCTGAATCATAATCTACAGGACTAATAAAAGTATATTTGGGATTTAGCTGCTTCACCAAGTGGTTGGATGATAAATGCAAAGATGCTAAGTAAATACTACTATTCCTTTCTCTCCAGTCTCAGGTGGAATCATGGGAGAGGCTCTGAATGTAGGAAGGAAGAATGCACATTCAGTTTGTGAGTGAACAGTAGAGGCAGATGTTTGGTCTTGACTCAGGAACTCTGTAGCTCTAGATGTTCTTCAGTGCTGTTCACTGCTACCCTGCAGGTGTGTGCTATGGCCTTCCGGGGTACACGGGGCTGTCTGAAGCACTTCCTCTCCCACTCGGCCTACTTAACTCTTCATCCTCCTCCAGATCTCAACTCCCTCACTTTCTCAGGGAAGCCTGTCCTCATCCACCAGTCTGGTCTGATCCCTTTGTCAAGGGCTCCTTCAGAAGCATGTTTCCCCCTGTGATCCCTTATCTCAGTTTGTAATTACATTCATTAGCGGTATGTGGTTTATGCTGGCATCTTCTGAGAGTAGGTATCTCACCTGTTTATGCTCCCTGTTTATTCCCCTGCGCAGCCAGCGCCTGGTACAAGGTGGGCACTCAGTACATAGTTGTTGAATGAACAAGTGCTCCAAATTCCAGAAGTATCAACACTTACTATGATCATGAACATTACTATTGTGTTTGTATCCTATGGTAGTTGACAGCTGTCTTTTCTCTCTTGAAGAGCACGGTAGCTCGGGATTTTGTAGAAATGAATCAGTCAGGATTGGCGGATACACTCAAAAGCCCCTCACTGCGATAATTTAGGACGCTTTGCTCCTCCAGTAACTCTGCTCCACCTCCATCCGCCAAAACCCCAAACCCAGGGTGTTTGAACTTAACAATGGTGTGTGTGTGTGTATTGCGGGGTGGGAGGGAGTTTAGCTGGAAGGGGGCTGGAGAACAACGTGAAAGGAGGGGTCGGAGTCCCTGTTCCCCAACCCCAAATCGCTAAAGACTCACAATGTGTGCTGGGCCTCCCCGCCTTGAACAAAGAGAGCATCAGAACTGTGGTCCCTGACGGAGGTGGGGTAATCGGAGCGCTGCAGCAGTCTGATTCCGGATTAGGGGAAGGGCGAGTGACCAGCCTCCCGGGTAAAGTTGGCGGCGTGCGAGTGGTAGCCTTTCTCGCCCCCTCGGGGTGTGTCCGCACGGGCTTGCCCGTCAGGTAGTGAGACCCGCGCGGGCGGCTCGCGGTCAGCCCTGGCCCGGGGCGGGCTGGCGGGGCGCAGCGTGCAGGTGCGGGGAGCAGGCGGCGGTCTGGCCCGCGGCGGCGCGCCGGGTGCGGGTGCGGGCGCGGGCTGCGCGGCGCGGCTGCGGGCGGCAGGAGGCAGCGTCGGCCCGGGCGGCGCGGCCGCGAGCGAGCCAGCGCGCGGTGATGTCAGTGGCGGCCCGGCTGGCAGCAGCCGGTACTTCCTGTATAAAGGCGGGCGGGCTCGGCCGCAAACCCCACGAGCCAGTGTCAGCCTCTCGACGGGAGGAGGCGGCGGCGGAGGAGGAGCAGGGGGAGGGCTGTCAAATTCGGGAGCCAGATTTTTTCCCCTTCCCTTGGCAATCCCTTCCGCTTCCCTGGCTCCCGCTGTGACATCTGCGGACGGGGGACCTGTATGTGTGTGCGCGCGAAGCAGCGGAAGAATGGCAGTGCTCAAACTCACCGACCAGGTAGGGGGCGGCGGCGCCGGCGGGCGGGACGCGCGGGCGCGGGGCGGCGCGGAGCCGGCGGGGGGATGGGGGCGCGGCGCG